TTTATATTTATGTATATATGTATATATACATATATATGCATTATATATACATATATATACATTTATATGTTGCACACACACACACACACACACACACACACACACACACACACACATATATATATATATATATATATATATATATACGTATGTGTATATATATATATCATATATATATGTATATACATATACGCATGCGTATGCATATCTTATATATATTTATATGCACACACACACACACACACACATACACATATATATATGTATATATGTATGTGTGTGTTTTTGTGTATATACATATATATTTATATATGTATTTATAATGTATGAATATAGAAATATACAAGTATATTATATATAGAAATAAATATATATATATATGTATATATAAACGGTGTATGCATATATATATAATGTATATTAATATATACATATATATATATATATATATATATATATATATATATATATATATTTATACATCCATGCATTCATACACACACATTGAGTGTATGTGTGTGCACACACATGTATATATACATATTTGTATATATATATATATATATATATATATATATATGTATATATATATTTATATATATATATATATTTATATATATATATATATATATATATATATATATATTTATATATATTAAATACATATATATATTCATATTCATATGTATATGCAATGTACATATTCGTATACACTTGAATAAATACACACGGATATACCTGTGTCTATGTGTTTCTGTAGAAGTGATTGAATGTTATTATATTGTGTGTATACATTAAATAACATTGACATGTGATCAAATTCCGTTAGCACACTGATGCTTGTATGCAGAAATTTCAAATGTGAAGAATAATCTGTTATAGATCCAACCTTCGGCCAATACAATCTGACTCACCTCCATGGAACATCGAATTGATTCATCAAGAATTTCATTCAAAGTGCTAGAAGTTTGGCAGCAAAAATGGGAGTATTTGTGGTGCGTGACGCTGCTCCTACGTCACAGGCTCTCGCTCGCAGCCACGGCCATAAATACAGCGCGTGTGCCACACTCCTTCAGAAAGCGAAGAACAGCCATCCAGCAACCATCTCTCTGTTCAGTGATTCTTGGTGAGAAAATCAAAATAATTGTCCACAATGGCCCCCATTCCACATTCGTGCGACCTGAAGGTTTCCGCGCGTGATGCAAAGCCCTGTGAGCGCGAAGAACCTTCCAAAGGGAGGTGGGACGTGGCCTTGCCCATCAGTCGAAGGGGGAGCTTCTTCCAAGACTCCTTTTTCTCGGATGTGCACGACGAGTTCGACGCCACCATCAGGAGGGTTCTGGGCAGGTGGAGAGACGCCGACTTGAGTTTGAGAGATCGCTGGGACGACAGTTGTCGGTACAACGATATTTTGAAACGTTACAGACAACTTCGATCTCTCAACCTGAGGGAGGAGGATCAGGCCGTCACCGTCACAACTGACACATCAGCTCATAAGGTGAGCCACGTTTTCTCTGTCATTTATTGTGACATCCAAAAAATGTGTCCAAACTTCATTATTATTTGATGATCGTTATTATTAGTTCACAAATCTCAAACCCAGCAGACAGAGTTGAAGATATGAACATGAATAAAAAAAAAATTTCAAACCCAGATTGTGGTGGACGTGCACGACTTCCTAGATGGAGAAGTGAAGGTGAAAGTGGTGGGCGAGAAGGAGGTGGTGGTGGAAGGACGTGTGGAGAGGAGAGAAGGAGGAGGCTCATCCGCACACTCCTTCAGACGCCGCTTTTCCTTGCCTCATTTTACCGACATGTCAGCCATCACGTCTGTCATGTCTTCAGATGGTATCCTTACTATTACTGCTCCGAAACAGGTAAGTATATCATTCTCTACGAATTTCATACGTATTAGAAAAAAGAAACACTAAATGTTCACAGATTAGAAAGAGAGAAAAAGTCAAAGGGCAGAGGAAATCATATCACACGTATTCTACATTGCACTCTATTTCAACAGGAGCAACAATCTCACCAAAGGACAACTATCATTCCTATCAAGCTTGAAGAAGTTGAGAACTCGGTGCTTTCCAGAACTACAGATAATAATGACACCAGTTCCGCTGAAAATACCTGCGAAAAATCACAAAAACTTATCTGTGAGACAGTAAAGAATAATAATGAAACTATAAACATTCCAAGTCATGCCAAAGAAGTGCCCACAGTCAACAGTCTTCAGCCTCGGTCTGTGGAAATCCAAATTTCAAAGGAGAGAATTAATGATGATGTGTGTGAAGTTAGGAGGCAAGAAAATAATGTTAAAACTACTGAAAGGACACAATCTGACGCCGCAGATGAATCAAGCCAAGTCTGTAAGGAACTAGACTCGACAGGACTTGAAAGATCTCGTCAAGGATTCTGGGATGAACTGCTACCAATCACTCGAAGAGGAAGCTTCTTCCAGGACTCATTCTTCTCCGACATGCACCAAAAGTTTGACGCCGCCATAAAGAAGGTCCTGAACAGGTGGAGCACCAATGACCTCGAGTGGACAGACACTGGGAACGACGTGGGTCTTCGCTACAAAGATATCCTGCAGCGATACAGAGAGCTTCGATCCCGTCACCTGGAACAAAACCTTGCCGTCACCGTCACATCAGACAAAACAGGCCACAAGGTCAGTTGTTCAATATCCCTTCTTAGTGGTGTTGATAAAGATATTTGGACATGTTGGAAAACATATATATATTTTTTGTGGGTAAGAAATATGATGAATATTTTCCTACCACAGATCGTAATGGATGTGCACGAGTTTACGGACGGAAAGGTGAAGGTGAGAGTGGTCGGCGAGAGAGAGCTGGTGGTGGAAGGAAGCGCAGAGAAAAAGGCGGAAGGAAACTCGGCCATTTCCTCACACTCGTTCAGACGCCGTTTCTCTCTGCCTCGCCAAACTGACATGGCAGCCATCACTTCTGTCATGTCTTCAGATGGCATACTGACAATCACTGCACCCAAAGTGGTAAGTAGGCATTCTTTCACAATCTGTTCCCATTAATTTAAATTAAGTACTAGATAGTGTTGCCATACAACTGCACCAGCATTTTCACTTAAATAATATATGTTATATATGTTTTTTTCCGGACGATGGTAAACAGGAATGTCTAGAAGAATCCAAAGAAATGTCTGGAAACAGAAGACTTAGCAAGGAGGAAGAATCACGCGATGCCAAAAGGCCTCTGTGTATCAAGAAGTCTGAAAGTTCCGCCACCGAAAATGTGTGTTTCCCTCTGACCAAAATGGGACTCTTCTTCCACGACTCCTTCTTCAAGGACTCTACGGAGGAATTCAGGAAAGCTGTTAGGGAAATCTTGACAAGATGGGGAGAAGCGTCTCCGGAAGTCGATGATCTGACCCGCTACAGAATCCTTCGATCTCGAGATTCGCGAGAAGAGACTCAGGCCGTCACGTCTTTGGAAGATGACCGTCACCATAAGGTACAAATGTGTCACTGATGATATTTCAGTATCTATGTAATTACCCATTTCAATATCTTGATATTTATTAACGATTTATTTCTGCCTTTTTAATGAAATAAACCACGATATTGATTGGCTTTCCCATATATTTCCAGTTTGTCATTGACGTTCATGATTTTGTTGACGGCGGAGAGGTCAGCGTGAAGGCTGTGAACGAGCGAGAGTTGGTGGTTGAAGGTCAGTTGGAGAAGAAGGGAGACGGTTCCAGGTCCAGCAAGCGGTTCCTTCGACGCTTCGTTGTTCCTGGAGACATTGAGCTTGAGGCTGTCACTTCCGTCACGTCTTCCGATGGTGTGCTGACAATTTCGGCTCCGAAGAAGGTGAATCTTCTCAAGAATTTCCTCTAATATTTCACGCAGTAATTCGTCTACAAGATGAAGCTTAAAGCTATTTATCTTAAGCTTGATATATGCAATTTCACTATCAGCCATAGTCTACTGTTATGTGGATTCTTTTTATAATAACAAGTTGTATTTCCTCTTCCAACAGAAGCCCCTTTTGAAGCTCACCAACGAAACGCAGAAAAGAGACACAAAGGAAGCAAAAAACACAAATCAAAAGGCAAATGAGTTTTCGTCCAATGAAACTTCTCTCTGTTCATCAGAGGTAAGTGTGCTAATAACACCAACGTTCTACCTACCCCATGATACACATGACATAAATGAGGAACTTATATGTATAAAACAATGAACAACTATTACCTCATTTCATACATTGCTCCACAGAAATGCCAAAGAAAAGAATCCATTGTTCCAATCCAGTTGGAAAATAAGGAGGAAGTGGCTGTTCCTGTTGTTCACGAAGGAAACACAGCAGATGCACTCGTGTCTGCCGACAAAGTTGAACAGAAACACTCATCTGCAGACCTAATGAGCCCAACTTCCGACGATGACGACGATGAAGGATACACATTCATCGTGAGACAGCCTGGAAATTCCTATCGAGTTACCTTTGGTGATGAT